AGACGTCTTCAAAGTGGAGATGTCCAACAGAAAGCTGAGAAAGAGGACTAGATAGAAGTCAGGTGAAAGGTTTTACCAGTTCATCATTTCCTGTTGTACAAAACAGCACCACGCTCATCTGGAGTGAGAGACCAATGGAAAAAAAATGTGTGGTGTGAATTTGTGTAACTGAGTAAAAACAGAATGAGAAGGAATATGCATTTTCAGAGGTAAGTCACAGGTCAGAGGAATCACTTGGGAGGGGGTCAGGAATCAAAGGAAGGAAACTTTGTCAAATCAGCAAGATAAGCCACTGATGTTATACCATACCACCTTATTCAAAAACTGTTTATAGCACAAAGTGACTACCTATGAAGGAAAGAGGTTTTACATTTCATCAAACATAGCAAAAATAAAAAAAAACACAAAAAAACTTGTCTACTCTTTAAAAAGATGTATCATCAACATAACCTCCAGCAAAATACTCTGATAGTTTATCACAGGACACAGAGGACCTTGGGCTATTACAGGTCATGCTATCAGAGCACAGGTTCTGCCAGATCCTACCTCAAGCTAAAAACTTCCTGAACAAGGACCTACTTCTCTGAAATTCAGAGGTATACAATAACCACAATATTGACCACAAGGTTACTGATTATTTTGACTATAGCCACTCAGGAAGTAAAAAGGGCTTTATTTAAATAATGGGTAAAAGATAGGGCTAGAGACTGGTCCTGTGATCATATCACTATGGGAAACTCCCAGGTGAGGAAATTCCCTCTACTAATATAGGACAGCAGCTCCTCTTCAATTTATAATCATTGAGAATTATCTAAAAAAGCTGAGAGGTCAAGTGATTTGCCAGGGTCACACAGCCAACAGGTATCAGAGGAAGGATTTTCTGGTTCCAAGGCTGGCTCTCTATCCATTATTCTACATTACCTCTCAGTTATTTAGCTAACAAACTATAATTAGTGATTCCAGAGGTTTGGAGAAATGTATGTAAACTTCACACAGAGGAACTGGACATCAGTTGCACGCATTAAGACATAACTGCAATTCTACAAATTTAAGATTTGAAAAGTATCTTAGAGATTTGGTCTAGCCCCTGAACTTTTCTTATGAGGGAATCATGGCATAGATAAAGTGTCTTGTCCAGGGTCATATAGCAAGTAAACGACAGATTTAGGCTTAGAACTCAACTTTCTTGGCTCTGATGCCAGTGATTTTCCCACTATGCCATGCTGACTGTCACAAAGGATGAAGTATTATGATCTGGAAAAAAAGCATTCTGAAATATTTCATTCTGAAAGGGCAGAACCAAGATGGCAGAGAAAAGATAGGAACGCACTAGCCTGAGCTTTCCCAAATTCCCCTCCAAACAGAAGTGGCAAAATCCATAAAAGGATGGGATGAACCAATTTTCCAGCTCAAGACAACCTAGAAGGACAGCAGGAAAGATCTGTCACACTGGCATGAAAGTGGAGCACATTCCAGTGCAGGCAATGCCAGGCAAGCCAGCAGCAGGCTTTGAGGGCCACTGAAATCAGTAGCAAGGGCTTCAGGAGCTCTCACCCACATATGATAAAGGGTCGGACAAGTGGTCAGAAGGAGATTACAGAGGTCCCCTTTGCTGGCACTGGGTGCAAGACCCTGTTTCACTGCTCATATTCGAATCCAGATCTCAGCTCTGGGTCTCAGTCCCAGGGAAGGAGGAGCACTAGCACACCAGAGCTTGGAGCAGAGGCCCTGGTCAAGGTACAAGGGAAGAAAAGAGTGCAGGTGACAGTTCAAAGACCAGAACACAGGCCAGGAGAATAGTAAACACACCTCTCTTTAGATCCATATTAAGATTCCATACTACCTTGAAAGAACTGAAAACTTACAGACCTCCAGAACTAGTTCTGAAAACAGCTGCATACAAAACCTGAAGTTTGGGACAATGCCCCCTCCATCCCAGGAGCACAGACCAACTTTAACATCAGGCAGTTTTCAGATGAAGTAATCAAATCTATCTAGAGTCATATGAAAAAATGTTCTAAACCATTATTAATTAGAAAAATGCAAATTAAAACAACTCTGAGTGAAGCCAAGACGGTGGAGTAACAGCAGTGACTTGCTTGAGCTCTCCCCCAAACCTCTCTAAATAACTGTAAAAAAATGACTCTAAACAAATTCTAGAGCAGCAGAACCCACAAAACAGAGAGTGAAACAAATTTCCAGCCCAAGACAACCTGGATAGTTCATTGGAAAGGTCTGTTGCACCAGGCTGGGAGTGGAGTGCAGTTCAGTGTAGCCCGTGCCACAAGGCCCAGCAAACCCAGAGCAGGCCTCAGGGGAATGAATCAAGGGGAACTGTGGCAGTTTCCAGATTTCTCAAAATGCCAAAGACAACTCAGAAGGTCAGTGGGAAAGGTCTGTTGGACCTGGGTGAGAGAAGTGTGGTCCAGCCCTGGCCCCAGCCCAGTCCCAAGGTGGCAGCCATAGCAATAGTGGCTGCTTCCAGAGGTCATGGCCCACAGACAGTGGGGGGAATCTAGTGGCTGATCAGAGGGGATCTGCAGAGATCTCTTTGCTGGTGCTGAGGCATTGCTTTGCCTGTGCTTGGATCTCGATTGTAGTCCTAGGTGGTGGTCCTAGGGCAAGGAGGAGCACTGGCATGGTACAGCTTGTGGCCATGGTAAAGAGGAAATCCTCCTCACAGTTTCAAACCAGAAAAGAGTGCTTGTGGTCACTTACAGACCAGAGCACAGGCCAGGAAAGGAGTAAACCCCTCTCCTTTGATCATACCACCTTGGAAGAACTGACAATCTACAGATCCCTAGAAGTACCTCTGAAAACAGCTGCACAAAAACCCCTCAAGCTTGAGACAGTACACCCTCTTCACTGGAAGCAGACCCTTACCTTAACAAAGAGTTTAAAAATCAAGTAATTGGCTGGGAACATGAGCAAACAGTGTAAAAAATACTCAAACTATAGAATCTTACTTTGGTGACGAAGAAGATCAAAATATACAACCAGAAGAAGACAACAAAGTCAAGGCTCCTACATCCAAAGACTCCAAGAACAATATGTATTGGTCTCAGGCCATGGAAAAGCTCAAAAAGGATTTTGAAAAGCAAGTAAGAGGAGAGGAAAAATTGGGAAGAAGAATGAGAGTGACACAAGAAAATCATGAAAAATGAGTCAACAGCTTGCTAAAGGAGGCCCCCCAAAAAATACTGACGAAAACAACTCCATGGTACTACTTCATACCTATCAGATTGGCTAATATGACAGAAAAAGACAATGACAAATGTTGGGGAGTATGTGGGAAAATTGAGACATCAACGCACTCTTGGTGGAATTGTGAAGTGAATTAACCATTCTGGAGAGCAATTTTTGGAACTATGCCCAAAGAACTATAAAACCATGCATAACCATTGACCCAGCAATATCACTACTAGGTCTGTATCCCAAAGAGATAAAAAACAAAAAAGAAAAGGACCGATGTGTACAAAAATATTTATGGTAGCTCTTTTACTGGTGGCAAAGAATTAGAAATTCCCCATCAATTGGGGAATGGCTATACAAGTTGTGGTATATGATTGTAATGGAATATAATTGTGCTATGAGAAATGATGAGCACGATGACTTCAGAAAAATCTGGGAAGGCTTACATGAACTGATGCAGTCAAGTGAGTAGCACCAGAAGAATACTCTACATAGTAACAGCAATACTGTGTGATGATCGACTGTGAATGACTTAGCTATTCTCAGCAACAGAATGATCCAAGATAATTCTGAAGCACTTATGATGAAAAATGTTATCTATCTCCAGAAAAAGAACTGACGGAGTTTGAACGCAGATCAAAGCATACTTTTTTCACTTTTATTTTTTGGGCTTTTTTTTTTGGTGAGTAGGAGAGTTGTATTTTCTTTCACAACATGACTAATATGGGAATATGTTTGGCATGACTGTATACATACAACCTATAAAAATTGCTTGCTTTCTCAAGAAGTGGGGAGGGGAGAGAGAGGATTTGGAATTCAAAATTTGAAAAAATGAGTGTTAAAATTGTTTCTATATGTAGGAAAAAATAAAATATTAAAAAGAAAAAAATTTCATTTCTAATGTCTCTTCCTCTGTACAAATAGACACACAGCAAAGTAAGCAGAACCAAGAAGGCAATTTCCCTCATGAGCACAATAATGTAAAGGTAAACAATACTGAAGGACTTTCAGAACTTTGAGCAATACAATGATCAATCATAACTTAAGAGGACTGAGGCTTAAGGGCTGTGGCTGTCTCCTGCCTCTCACAAAGATGACAGACTAGAAATAAAAAATGAAGCATATGTTCTCAGATATGGCTAAGACATTTATCATTGGGAAGTTACAAGGGAAGAAGTCATTGGGAAATTACAAGGATGTACAAAATAAATTTACAATTTAATCTTTTTTTATATTCCTGTCATTTCTCAATGACTTCTCCCCTTCCCCCCCCCCCACCATCCCGCCAGCCCCTAGGGCAGTAGAAAACAAATACAGTCAAGTAAAACAAATAAATATCAATAAAATATTCTTTTAAATAAACAAAAAAACCTTTCCCCATTATTTTGTTTCATTGCAAGACAACACTTTAGGGATTTCATAGATCACATATGGGACCTAAGAGGTCATTTAGTCCAATACTCTCATTTTACAGAGGAGGAAACCGATGCCCAGGAAGGTTAAGGGACTTGCCTCAAGTTACAGGTAGCAAGAAGCAGGGCCCAGATTTGAACCCTCACAGGTCTTTAACCTGAAATCCAGCATTTCTTCCACTGAACCACAATGCCTATTCCTTTTTAATGGAATATAGAGAGTCTTTCACTCCTAAATACCCATGTAGTTCATCTTAAACCACACTAATCAAATAAAGATTAAATTAACTCTGTAAAAAAGTGTTTTAGCTTTGTAATAGATGGTTTTCTGAGTAGGAAGGGCCACCATTTTCCAAAGAACTTTTCCCTATCCATTATTAAATTACTAAGGCCTACCTTTGTAGTGACCCTATATGTGATGTAGGTCTCCATTGTACAGACATGTTTCTTGGGATCATCAACGGTGACAAATAGGTCTCTGGTCTCACCATCAAGATCATCATCCAGCTGAAGTCTGTTGAGAAGCGAAGATGAAGAGGCTGGGCTGGAAGTGCCTGCCGGAGTTCCACCATTAGGCAAACTGAGGTCCTAAAAAGAGAAAAAAGATAAACTGCTTTAAAAAAAAACACAAAAAGAGAATAAATGCATAATAAAATAAACCCTGCATAATGTTGGTTTTGTTTTGAACATAACCTTTACAATTTTAATTTTATCATGTCATTGTTTTGTTACATCAAGGGAATAAAACTACCATATGCTTGAAGGAAGTAAGACTGCATATAAAGATATGAAACTCTGTGAACTCAAAGGGAAAAGTTTCTTTATGATGCCTATAGAGACTATTACAGTGCTCTTTTAACAAAAGTTAATTTGCCAAATGATTTCTCCTCCACCTATTAAAGGGGAGCTAGATGCAACCATAAACCTGAACTCACGGATGAATTCCACGACTCTTACCTCGCAAGAACTCTAATGTTCTGAGCTAATAAGGATCCTTTTAACCACATACTCTGGGGATCTCCCACCCCTGCTTTCCTACCCTGAACACAGTGCTGTCTCATACCAGGTAAGAGATGACACAGAAAACCCAATGATATGTCTTTAAAAATTAAAAAGGGGGCAGTTAGGTGGCGCAGTGGATAGAGCACCAGCCCTGAATTCAGGAGGACCTGAGTTCAAATGTGACCTCAGACCATATACTTGACACTTACTAGCTGTGTGACCCTGGGGAAGTCACTTAACCCCAATTGCCTTAAAAAAAAATTTAAAAAAAATTAAAAAGACATGGAAAAAAATCCACACACCAAGAATGCAAGGGGACTAGAAAAAAGAAAAGAAAAACTGTAATATTCAGATAGTTTACAGAGGGGGAAAAATTTAGCCATGAAATTTGCAGTTTACTTAAAGCACGATGTTGGCTTAGTAATTTTTATGGAACATTTGTGTTTATACACACATACACAAACACACACACACACCATTACCAGCTAGAAAAGGGCTAAGCTTTTTAAAAATGATTCATCTTAGTACAAGCATTTCCATATACCTCACTGCCTAGGCAACTGGGCAAGAAGAGAGCATCATCTATAGAATTCCAAGAAAATTTTCATTTTTTAAACTCCAAGGGAAAACTTCAGAAGTTATCTACGATTTATGCTTTTTAAAATCCACCTCAGAAATCAGAGCAGTAGGCAGGACTTTTTTCAGAGAGGGCAACCACCACAAGTCACACCCAACACAATCAGCCTTTAAAGTGAAGGTGAGGGGAGGGGAAGGTGAGAGTGGAACATCACCCTATGGATCCCTGTGAAATGAAAAGATGTTGCTAAGTGTAGAGGGGAAGGAGAAACTCATGCTAACCCATCTGATATTTTTCTATTTTAACTAATTATTCTTGCTAAAGAGACTGCAAAGTTTTGTTTTTGTTTATTTCTGTGCTTTGTTGATTATGAAAAAGCACTTAATTTCATAAAACAAAACATTAACTTAAATAACTAAGTGTCCGCTAGTCCTCCTCTCCTTACATCAAAATCACTGAAAATGATCTTGGAAAATCCCAGAAGATTTAACAGCACAAATTACCCTGTTCAATGACCATCTGATCATAAACCTCATGGGAAGCATAAAATGTGTGTGGGGGCACCTGAGAAAACTCAGATGGACCAAGTGTTAGGCTCAGAGTTGCACAGGAAAAAAGGAGAACAGGCCAGAATGCTTCCAGTAAACTACAAAACTCCTTCAATGAACCCATTTCCTACAAAAGTAAAGGTTCATTTTTTAAAAATACCAAAATGCTGCGAGTGTTGCTGAAGATCTGTCAGACACACAAATTAAAAATTAGTATCACAAATAAAGTAGTAAGGAGGTACATGGTAGGTATAAGTGAAGGGTGACATAAAATTAATAAGGAACTCTGAAGAACAAGAATAAAAGATGACATTAGGAAATTGTATGATAGGAAAAGAAGATGAACTAGTCACGTGGTGAGGATGAGGAACAAGGTATGGTGATGGGATGACACAGACAAGGTGCTCAGGCATGCATAGGCTTTCAATCAACATTGTTGAAGAGAATTTTCAAATCAACAAGATTAGAAACCTATTAGAGTTTTGCTTATTGTTACTAAAGAGGTGATAAACTGTTGTTTCTACATTGCTAAAACATCTCAACGCTGTTGCCATCACTCTTTAAATTCAGCATCCTAGACAAAGCCCTAATTGTCCTGCTCTAGTAGGACCACTAAATAAAGACTTCCCAAAAATTTGGGAAAAGAGATTAAGTTCAAATGTATCGCCTAAAGTCACAGATCAAGTTTATAAATCAGCTTTCCCAATTTTCTGAGGGGAGTGGGGAAGATGGATGCCAGGGAAGGGTCAGGGAACCAGCCGTCTGGCCTTGTGGATTCAGCCAGTAGGACTCACACAAGCTTCAAGTTAATGGTTTTCCTAAGTCCCAGCTTAAAAAAAAATAACAAAGCAAGTTATGCTTTATTACACCACTTTACAACTCAGATAAAGGTAGGAAGAGAAATCAGTATTATTGTTTTGTGATATTTCTTCCATATACTCGGGAGGAAAAAAACCTTTGGACTTTGGCAATTCTAAGGGAACAGAATGGAACTGTCCTTAGATTTTCTAACCAAAATCCTTCAGCTATGTATTCCAGACCAAAAGCCACCCTTTCTCCTCACCACAACCAAAAAGCCTTCCAGGCAGGGGTTCTGCTTCCGTACTAAAAAAGAAAGAAAAAAACCAGTACATATGACTAGCTAACCATTACCTTTGAAAGTCTGAGTGAGAACCTCTTCAAAGCTCCTTGCTTTTGAGAGACCACATTGCCCACCCTCCAAAAACATTTTCTAAAAATGTGGTCACAAAACAAAAACAAATAAATAAACAAATGAAAACCCAAAAGTATATTTTCCAAAGTAAAGAAAACTGAGGAGATCTAAGAGTTGGATCATTAGACTGGGTGTCATATGACTAAAGGAAGCAGAATCTTCCACTTGCTGGGATCTTATTGTATTTACTTGTACCTGTAATACCTACTTGGGTAGATATCCAAGTTGTGACAGATGGTGGCAGTGCTCATATGGTGAATGGACTTTTCCACAAACTACTCTGTATCTGCTGTTTTGCCTGATTTCAGTTCCACTGAACAAGATACTTCTGTGCTAGGTACCCCTTCCACCTCCCCTTGTTTGTGCTGCCTCCCTCCCCCATTAGATTGTGAGCTCCTTAAGGATAGGGACTGGCATGGAGCAGGCACATAATAAATATTCATTAGATTGGACCGGAATGTCAGATCACAGCATTAGAGATGGAAGGGTCCTCTGAAGTAATTTAGTATAGCACTATTTTACAAATTAGTAAACTGAGGCCCAGAGAAGGAAGTAACTTGTCCAGGAGTTTCCTTGTAGGGGCACATAGTAACATCCAATAAATAACTATTAAAAATGAGAAACTAATTGATCTTTATCCTCATTTATTCCTCAAACTGGCACGAAATGATTTCACTAAAGGCATCACTTCTATATTGTAGCAAACAGTAGTGGCAGTGGTAGTAGTAACAGTAGTAGTAGTAGCGGCAGCAGCAGAAATAATAGCTAACATTTATATAGCACTTACATGTGTCAGGTACTTTATAATTATTATCTCATTTGATCCTCACAACAATCCTAGGAGGTAAGTGCTTTTACTATCCTCATTTTACAGATAAGGAAACTGAGGCAAACAAAAGTTAAGTGACTTGTCCAGAGTCACACAGGAAGTGTCCAAGGCTAAATCTGAACTCAGGTCTTTCTGACTTCAGGCCCAGCACTTTATCTACCATGCCACCTACCTGCCCCTAAAGAGAGGGAAAGGGGAAGCGATAGATTAGGAAAGGCTTCCTGTAGAAGGCAGCATCTGAGCTGGGCTTGAGAGGATAAGTAAGAATTCATCAGGTCAAGAGGAGAAAGGATAGTGGTCCAGGCACTGGAAACTGAGGAAAGGCTCTAAGGCAGAACAACATGGAACCTAAGTGTAGTCCAGTGTGGAAAGGGGTAACAAAATAAGACCAGAAAGAATGGCTAGAGCAAAATTATTGAGGGCCTTCAATATCAGACAAAACATCAGGAGTTTGAACTTTACTCCTGAAATGGGAAATCACGGAAGATTTTTAAGGAGAGGAATGACAAGACTAGACACGGCAAAGAAAGATGAGTCTGGTACTATACAGCATAAATTGGAGGAGGGGGAAATACAAGTGAAATATCTGTTAAGAGATTACTACTAAGCCAAAGAATTTGAAGGAAAAAAAAAAACCTGTTCTCAAAAGAACAATTGCTAACTATAAACAATCATACATGAGAGAGCATCCAATCACTAATAAGAAAAATGCCAGTCAAAACAACTGAGGTTTCTTCTCACACCCAGCAGACTGGCAAAAGGGATAATAGATGTAAACAGTCAATGTTAGTAGGGCTGTAAATAGACTAAGACACCATTGGTAGAACTGTGAAATTGACCCAGTTGTTCAAAAAAGCAATATGGAATTATGCTAAACAAGTAATTGAAATCTCCATATCCTTTGATCCAGGGAACCCCCTGTGCCCCAGTTAGGCATTTACCCTATGGAGCTCAAATCCAGAAACTTTTCATATATAACAAAATATTCATAGTAGCACTTTTTGTAGTAGCAAAGATCTGGAAACAAAGTATATACCTATCGATTAGGGAACAGCAAATCAACTTGTGGCACGTGAATATAAGTGAGATATTATTGTGCCATAAAAAATAATGCATATGAAAAATTCAGAACTAAAAAAAATGAAGCAGTCAGGAAAATATTTAAAATGACGAAAATGTAAACAGGAAATATAACAACAAACAAAAAACAACTGTACACCATAAAATTATGATGTCCAAGTTTAGAGTTGGAGAAAAAAATAAGAAAATGTACCTCCCTTCCTTCTTTGCAGAGGTGGGAGATTATGAGTCTCTAATATAAGCTATATTGCCAGATTCAGCTGATATGCTGTTTAGTTTTGCTGAATTGCTTCCTCCCCCAATGGTTTGTAGCAATGGATAGTTCCCCCAAAAAGGGAA